ACTTAAGTACTAGAACCAGTGTTGCCACTTTATTTTAAGAAACAACAAAGAAGTATCTCCAAAAATATACAAGCTTTATAGCAGTCAAAAATATTTACAAGAGTAGATTAAGAAGTTACTAACTTCTTTTAACCAAATCAGTATAAAAACAACTTCTTTATTTTCTTATTTGAAAGAACATATATATATATATATATACACAGTACAAAGTCCGTAATCCGGATGTCCATTATCTGGAATGATCTATAATCCAGACCTCAAAGCCACAAACTTTTTAATTTTTGTATGCTTTACGCATGTGCACATTGAAAGAAATGTTTAATAAAGTAAACAAATATATATTAAGCTTTTTTTCGTAAAATTTGATTTAGATAGATCCTTTAGATCATATTTGCTCTTTATTTCATAAATTACAGTTTCATATATTTAATTGTATAATTTCTGCATGCCATCTTACCAGATTTAAATTGATGATCTATAATCCAGAAAAACCCCTAATCCAGAATCGCCGAGGTCCCAATGAGTCCGGATTACTGACTTCATACTGTATTATATAATTTTAACAAGTGACTAATGTATTATATGGAAGAGGGGAAAAACGTGGTAAAATCTCGACCCAGAATTTTATTTTTTTCTTTCAAAAACTGCATTTACTCATGCATAATGTAAGTTAATATTTACCTCCCATTGACAAGAATTCTTTAAATAATTTGAATTATTAAAAATTCTGAAAATAAAATTTACAGTAAGTTATAGGATATTAACCAGCAACTGCAAAATTTTTTCCTCTTAATTTACACTTATTTCTGGGTGTCTAGATTGGCATAGAGTAGGAATTCTCAACGTTTTTGTCCCTAAGAGCACATACTAAAATATCTATTGGATGGCGGGCACCATTTAGTTTTTCATGGTGAATTTACAGTATGATAGAATTAATAATACATGCACATGAAAAAAAGAGATCAGTCGCATTTCGTTTTGGGCTGGTATCCGTGTTGGACACAATTCCTATTTAATTAAAAATGAGAAAAATTTCACATAGAATTTTATTGAAAATTAAAACATTTTTATTGTGATCACACAGCGGCGGGTGCCATGGTGCCTGCGGGCATACACTTGAGAACCCCTGGCACAGAGAGTGGAAATTGGAATACAGATGGAATCTGCCATGAGTCCCAAATGGAGATAGACATTTAAGTAGCCCTCACAGGAAAATAAAATTCACATTGACAATAAATAGTAAATATATTCTAAAACCATCAGAGAACACGGCAATACACAGGAGTTGGAAATTATGTACATAACATAAAAAATAACCACTGTTGCCAACCTAATTAAAGTTACCAAATTTCCACTATAAGGTATTTCTCCCGCCTTCTTAGTGTTTGCATGCTGGAAGCGTATTCCAGAGGTCTGTGGTTCGATTCTCGGCGAGGTTTTTGCTCATTTTTCAAACATCCTGCTTCCAAAAAAAATCCTAATACCTCTACACCACTACTAAAATAAATCCCCAAATGGGGATCATGGCAGTTAATAGGTTAAGATATCCTCCTCAGTTTTATGTTTTTTTTAAGTTGTACGTTTTTGCAAATGCAAACATGCTTAAAGTACAGTTTTTATATATTTTTATTAAATGGTTTCCGACTTCATCTACTGGAACATAGCTTAAAATAATATTTTACTTTTCGTTACAAATACAGAAATAAAAATTATGATATTTATATTATGCAAAAGATATTTAAAAATTACATTATAACTAAAAATACTATGCAGCAAAAGAAAGCAATTTTAATTTTTGACAAAATGAACTTTACCAGGAGAACAAATCAAGTTATATGTGTGCGTGCATAAATTAAAAATAATAAATAAGTTCACATAATCTGGTAGTTAAACCACATGCTGAAATCTGAGACAATCACAAATTTATAATTTTGACCGAATTTTATCTTACTTTTTTATACATAATTTTTACAGTTGTCTCAATTCATTTTGGCTCATATTAAAGATTAACTACAGAAAATATTTATTTACCACAGATTAACATTTACCATTCAATAAAGTATAGTATAAAATTTTACTAATATTTTCCTTATCGAAAAAAAAATTATGTAAAACTATTTTCTACAACTAAGCACAGTAGAATATCTAATTTTTTTTTTGGTTTAAATTGATAATTTTCCCTTCATTCTAAACTTCTGAATTACTGAGTTAAAAATCCTTTCAATAATGAATTCCATTGACCCTATCCTGCTGATCATTTTACTTTTGAACTTGAAACATCCAATTACCTTCCAATGCTTGACATCTTGGCCACATACAACATATGCAACTTCATTACTATTGTGTATAGTAAAACTTTACCATCCACACTACACATTCGTATCACTCCACTAAACACAGGTTCGCTTTAATTTATTCTTCTGTTTTCTCTTTTAAACTGGCTCTTGATTGAGAACTAAATGGCTTAAAAGCAGATGCTATTTAGAGGTCATTTTACATATAATTATTGACAAAACGATTTTAAAAAAAATCACATTTCAACATTTTAGGAGCATTTTAGCTATGAAACTGCATGTACTTCATAAATTCCACTTTTGGGTCATGTTCTCTGCTATCAAATAAATTTGCTGTTCCATACTTACAGGTACCATTCTAGATATGAACTACTGGGGTATATAAATGATTCTTTGCCAATGAGGTTTTACATTGGTCAAACTACGAAAGCATTAAAATTTCACGCTAAGAAACATGAGGCATATGCTAGCAAAAAGAAACAAATACAACCTCTACTGCCCACCACTGTTGATTAGAAAAATCGCATTTTCCATCGGCCAAAATTATTAAAAACTGCTGGCGAATTAGATTTTCTACAAGCATTTCACATTCGAAAAATCCCCTAGTTAATGATCCCAATTTTAATTTGACTTTATCTTCAGCTATTAAGGAAATTATTTCATAATTTTCATATTTAACCAACAGACGGTTAGCTTAACTTTCCTCATCTTGTTAGTGAATGAACACAAGCTTCTCTTTTACCACTTGCATTTCTGCAGCTGAAGAAGGTTATATGTTTAAACCTTTGAAAATAATTCTGAGAATTTACCAGTATTAGGATGATTTGTGCTGCCTCGACATCTCCAATAAAACCAAAATATATTATTGCAGCAGAAATATTCATGTTTAAATTTAAAACTTGTTCTTCTACCTTAAGAATTTCATTTTCATTTAATTCATTCTTCCAATATTAACTAAATTTTGCAAGCCAAGATATAATATCAACACTAAAAAAAGGAATTAAGAATTTTTAGTCCAAAGGGGCTTTGTCTCTGACAGACTATTGTTTTCGTTTTGCGATTTTGTGCTGACAACTTTAAAAGGCTGTATCACTTTTCAAATCATCGCCACCAAATACTATCACACTGTTTAATATTTGAAGAAATAAAATAATGAGGAATCTGCATAAATGAATGTATGTTTCTCGCATTGTGATAACAAAAACGGTACCCAGAGCCATCCAATTTTGAATAACGTAATCCTACAGCGAATATGGGCATCTAAAACCCCAAATTTGAAATTTCTTTTATTATAGATTTCATATTTTGTAAAACTTTAGCAAATTTTTGATCAACAAACTCAGGGATTTCAAAGTGAGCAATGGCAACGTTGTACAGAAAAAACATTTTTATCAATTCAAAATTATTTTGCAATATTGCTCTTGAACTGAATTTTATGGTTTAAGCGCGAAGAACATGATATTTAATAAATAAAGGCACCACACAAAATGTATAAAAAATCACCCCTTTGGATGTAATTTAAAATCTGAAACCTTTCAGACTTTATTTTAAATAATTCAGACAGTCAAAAACAGTAACATTTTAACAGATATACAAATCGGAGCAATAAATTTACTAAGAATTAATGCAATGGGTTTAAATAAAAACATATTTTAATCGAACTGCCAAAACACTAAATTCTAATCTGCCATTCTAATCGAACTGCCAAGTCACAAAACCCAGTAATTTTCTGGGGATTTTAATATCAGCTGCATTCATATTTTGTGGTTTCGGCTCGCTACAATTAAAATATGAGATTGCTAGCTTTCTTCTTTTTTGGGGGGTAAAAGGAATTCTCTATACATCAAATCTCCACTTTCCTCCTGAAAAGGTCCTCTGAATATTCTCCAATAACTAGATAATAAATCAATTTCAATCATAGATAAAGATGGGCCTAAAAATCTCATAAAATATTTTATATAGAATTTAGAAATATACAAGTCTTTAAGACATATTTCTTTTTTAAAGCCCTGTTTATAAATTAATAATGTTTTTCATGAAAAAAATAATATAAAATGATATTCAAAATGATAATTATAATAACATTAGCATATATTTGTATATTATCGCAATAACATATACATGTAACATTTTCTTTCAGAATCTACCAAATTAATAAATCAAGAATAGATTTATTTAGCATGTTAGGGTTACAACAAAGAAAATTTTTATATCTTCATAATCAATTTAATAACACTTAAGTTCAAATCCATTCATTTTCAAATATATCATATTTATTCAAAAGCAAGAAAAGCAGGCAATTAAAATTGAAGTATGTGATGTTAAACCACTTTGATAAAATGAGATAAAGCGATAACACTGGTTCTAGAGTGCACTTTGTACCAAGCAATAATCAACAGCAAATTTGTTTTAAACTTTAATATTAGTCAATAAAGAAAAAAATTATGCCCAAAAAACCTATGTTTGATTCACATATCCAAAACAGCGTAAGAGTTTGGGGACAGGTGGAGAAATGCTTCCACAATACTTATGCTCCGAGCAAAAAAATAAATAAACACAGCATACTAGCCAACTCTGATCTTGGTAACTGTATCCAACAAATTGTATTTACACAGACTTCTCATTAACATCATTTTCAGAAATACTAAATTAGTCCAAACAAAACTTGAAGTAGAACACACAAAATAGTTAATAAAAGTGACGTACATTTCCCAATAATACTGTATCAGAAACATTTGGGTTGTTGTAGGAATCATTAGGTCGATCAAAATTATCTCGAAAGCCTCGAGAAACTCCACTTCCAAGCTGATATGGAGCATCTCGACCCATGCTATCCATGGCAGAGCGTCCCATGACATTGCCACTTGGCATCATGGAGGATGATCCTCCCATTCCCATGCCAACATTAGGAGAAGGAACACCCATGTTTGAGCCAGTCATGCCTAAGCTCATACCAGAGGCACCCATCATTCTGTCAGCATTATTCATACCCAATCCTCCTGCAGGAGCGAGACCCATGCCAGATGACGGTAACATTCCTAAATTACTTGAACCAACACCAATGCCACCACCAGACATTCCACCTCCTACACTGCCTGAAACGAAATCATGACATATTACCTGCAAAGAAACTATTAATATTTTTAAAGAACTGCATGACTTCTTTTCACATACATACACTCCAAAAAAGACAAAACGTGCCTCATACTCATATATCCACACCTTTAATAGAGAAGACTTAATCACTTTCAGCACACTGTTAAACAAACCAATATCACATATATTCTAGATACATCTTTCATTACTAGCAACATTTAAAATTTTTGTAAGACACCTAACAATCCTCTTCTATCTTAGAGACTGAGAGAACAGCAATACTGAAAATTTCTAATTATGTGAGATATCTGGTTGATGTTACACAACTAAATATTCTGCAATTCGCTTCTAAATATACTTTTCATTTTGGGACAAATAGACTGCTCTTAAAAACTTTATAATATAATGGTTTATTCACATACTTTCCAAATGATTTTTGAAAATGTTTCAAATGAAAACTTTAAAAATTTTATTAGTAAAATAAAATCAGGTTTCAGATGCAAAAGTATTTTCTTGAAAGATATAAAGCAAAAAAGAAAAGTTAAAAAATTCCCACTATCTTCAATGTAGTTTTAATGCTAGAAAATATGCATTGAATGAGACACGTTCCCGAATATTAACATTATATTTTCGTATTAAAATTAATTAGTAATTTATTTATGAAAGAAATTAACAATACCATTCAAATTTTTCAGTAAGGAAAATAAAAATACTTGTAAAGACCAGAATATCATAATATGGGAAATAATCCAGTTACAACTAAGAGCAACTACTTCTGAATTAAAATCCAAACCACAATAAGATGATTTTCAATGGCACTAATCTTCTGCTAAATACTCGCTTCTACTAAAACAGAAGCCAATTACATTGAATAAAAGAAAAATTTGTTTAAAATTCAATTAAATGCAAGAAAACCACAAATTTAAATACACAAGACATTCAGGTCAAATTAAGAGAAGCAGATGACACAAATTATTATGCATAGCTGTTTCACAGCAAATTTTAATTCAAAATATTAAAACATACTTCAATTACTTTACAAAAAGCAGAGAATACAGAAAATCTGCAAACAAAAGTTACAGACAATAAAAAAATTAGAGAAAAGTACCTTGTCGGATCTTAACTAGAGTACCAAATTTTTTGTAATTCTTTGTTACAGCGGCCACTGAGATTGAACCACCAATCAACAGAGACATCTCGCCAAAATCTGCATGTTACTGTCTTGTTATGAACTTTGTACATATATAGATACTGTTTTAGTGAAATCATATGTAAAATTGTTGTATTTCTTTTGTATAATGTAAGATGAAAATCTAGAGGAGCAAAGCATGCCAGAAAATTAAGAATACTGGGGGAGGTCTTTAACATTTAGTAAATAGCTATCTCGCTAATTTGGCAAGATATTGGCTAAGCTGGGAACAGTTTTGGAGACTCATTTTTGACACAAAATTGGGTGAAAAGTTGTTAAATTTCACATCATTTTGGTTTGGTCTGTGTATCATTGTAACAGACATTCCAACTGAATAACTATAATTGATTTCAGATGTTCTGTAACCATACTCAACTAGCCTTCCAGTAATTTGGAAAAGCAGAAAGTACTAGAAATATCTTGGCGGCCAGGTGAAACTGGAGAGAGCATCTGCTGTGAGTATTAGTTGTTGGCTGTTAATTCGGCACGAGTTCGGATTACTCAGATATCTTTGCTTTAGATGCTCTTTGCATCATATTGTATTTAATGTTCTTAGTAGTTTGAAGCGTTTTGTATAACATTCTTAGGAGTTCTCTGCGATACTGTGAACACCTGTACAAGCATTTCTGAGGAAAGCTTCAAACTTTGAAGTGCTTTTTTTCATAAAATAAATTTGATTAACCAATCATTTGACCTGTGTGCATTCAGTCTATTACAAACCATACACAAAAAATATAGTACATTAGCAACGGCTGTTTCTTCTCATGTATTAGCACTGTGTCGCATTTTTGCTAATGTTCTTATATTATTCATTTTTGATGAAGGTTTTAAATTCACATTGTTTATTTAAAAATATATTCATTTCCTCCTTTTGTGTGTGTGTGAATTAAATTAACATTTTTTAAAGAGGTCTTTTACCAGAAACACAAGCTTGCAAAAATTGCCACAACATTAAACTTAATGTTAACAGCAAAATTATCTGGAAGTGCTATGTTAAAATTTGCAAAACAAAGAAGGGCCTAAATGTTGGAAATTAGTTCAGCATTTCCAGAATATTGCTCATCAATGCTATTAAAATTAGTTCAGTAGTTCCAGAATATTGCTCATCAATGCTATTAGATTTATCTATTCTTGCGCAGAGGAGTTGATGTCCATGAAATAACAAACAGCTTAATATGTGCGAAAGTGCTGAGGTTGATGGGAACAATTACATGTGATGAAATAATGATAATAAGGGATATGGATTCTGTGGTATATCGAGAACTATTGATGTGTATACCATAATCAGACTTTAAGCACCAAGCATCGAAGCGCGGGCAGTAGAAAAGGACTGGAATGGGAATGGCTGTAAATATGAGTAGCTATAAATATAAGTGTGTATGCGAGTGATGAAATATTTTATATATACAGTATAATAAAAGTAGCATGCAGTTTAAAAGAGTGTATCTTGTGAAATAATTACCCACTAAAAGATACACAACAGCTGGCGATGAGGATGTGAGATTTAAAAAAAAATTTTCATAATGCAATTTGAATAAGGATTTAGGTGATTCCTCGAAGTCTGCTCAATTTTATAATCATTTTTCTTTCGGAAGACTCATCATGGAGCAGCTTTACTGAGTTAATAGCACAGATTAGAGCTCTAATGGAGACACTTTCTACAGTTATTACTCCACAGATGGACAATTCGAAACCTTCGGTTCAGTTTGAAAAATATAATGAACACGAAGAACAGTTTGATTCGCTTCTATTGAAATTCGAAAGTTATTTAGATATACAAAATGTTTCACACAATAAGCGTGGGAAAGTACTGATTTTTAGTTTGTCCGGAAAAATGTATAGTCTCTTAAAAAAACTTGCTAGCTCCCGATAATCCTTCCGATAAAGATTATGATGTGTTAAAAACAACATTAAGAAATCATTTAAATCCTAAGCCACTTATAATTCCTAGCAGACGTATTTTTAAATCGAAAGCAGCACGAGGGGGAAACAATAAGTGTGTATATGGCAGAGTTAAGGTCACTTGCCATACCGTGTGCTTACGATCAGAACATGTTAAATACGAATGTTGCGGGATGTATTTGTTAGTGGGCTTAAAGATGGAGCTATTCTGGATGGAAATTTTGAGCAGGATAATATCAATTTAGATGACACTTTAGAAATAGCTGTTGGCAATGGAAAAGGCGTTAAAAGGTGCAAATGAAATAATTGGGAAACCAGTGGAAATTAAAAAAAAAATAGTGGTAGGAACAAAGGTAAATCTAAGTAAGTCGCTCCAAAACAAAAGTTTGAAAAACAAAACTTCGCAGCTAAGAGTGCCTAAGGGCAAATTGTATGCGCGATGTACGGGGAACTGACCACGATAGAAATTCTTGCAAATTTAAGACAAGTATCTGCAGATTTTGTAAGAAAATCGGGCACATTGAAAGAGTATGCTACAATGCTAAAAATCCTGAAAAAACAAAAGCGAAACAAAAACAATTAGATGTAGGAAATGAAAACACAGTTCTTCTAAACAGCATACATTCCAGTGAGGTGAAAAATAGGAAACCACCCATAATGGTTCAAGCAAACATGGAAGAGAAACCGGTAGCTATGGAACTGGTTACAGAGGGTGTGGAATCAGTACTGAGTTTTAAAAATTTCAAGCAAATTTCGAAAAAGAAAATTAAAAATATAAGTATGGTATTTAAAACATATAATGGCGAAAAACTAATATCTTTAGGATTTACTACAGTTAAAGTAAAATATAAAGGTCAAAATAAAAACTTAAACCTTTATATTGTTAAAGAAAACCTTCATACAATATTTGGTAGAGAATGGCTTTCAGAGATAAATTTAGATTGGTCCTCAATAAAGTCAATCTGTCTTTCAAAAGAGTAATTTAAATAAATTACTGGAACAATATAAGGAGATTTTTGGCGGAAAATTAGGAGAGATAAAAAATTATGAGGTTCAACTTGAAACCAAATGTTTTACCAAAATTTTTAGAGTTAGGCAAGTACCATTTGCATTAAAGGGCCTGATAGATGAAGAAATTGATCGTTTAGAAAAAGAGAGTATAATTGAAAAGGTTGAAACTTTCGAACGGGCAACTCCAATAGTACCAGTAATTAAGCCGGATGGCTCTATACGATTGTGTGCCTACTACTCGGTGACAGTAAACCCAAATATTGTTACTCATCAACACCCTTTGCCGACCAGAGAGGAAATATTTTCATGTTTGAGCGGGGTAAAGCATTTTTCAAAAATTGATTTTAAACATGCTTATTTACAAACAAAAGTACACCCTGAGACTCAAAAATTATTAACAATAAACACACAGAAGAGATTAACGTTCGGGCTAAATGCAGCGCCAGCAATCTGGCAACATTACGTAGACGGACTATTCCACGGAACAGAAGGGTGTAAGGTCTCTATGGATGATGCGCGGATAACAGGGGGTGGGATGATGACGCACATTTAAATACTTTAAAAAATTTCTTTGAGAAATGTAAAACTCATGAACTGAAATTAAATTTAGAGAAAAGTAAATTTTTTCAGAATGAGATAACATTTTTAGGTCTTAAAATTGATGCTAATGGTTTACATAAAACTGATGAAAAAATATCAGCGATTGCAAAAGCCCAAAACCCAGAAACGTCCAGGAAATTCAAAGCCTTTTGGGATTGGTTAATTTTTATGGAAACTTTTGCCCTAAATTAACGACAATTGCAAATCCCTTATATCAATTAACTAAGAAAAACTCAAAATGGGTTTGGACGAAGGATTGTCAGAGGGCTTTTCTAAACATTAAAAAAGAATTGTGTTCACAAAAAGTTTTGATGCATTATGATCCAAAATTGCCCTTAATATTGGCAACTGATGCATCACCAGTAGGGTTAGGTGCGGTACTTTCTCACAAACTTCCTGATGGAATAGAAAGGCCAATTGCATATGCTTCAAGAACACTGACTGAAACGGAGAAGAAATATTCTCAAACCAATAAAGAAGCTTTGTCAATCATTTGGGGAATAAAAAAAAAATTTTCTGTACTTAAAAGGCAAGAAATTCACATTAATTAAAGATCATAAACCTCTTATTGCAATTTTCGGCTCAAAGAAAGGCATGCCAGTTTTGGCAGCAACAAGACTCCTACATTACGCTTTGGCTTTACAGTCATTCCAATTCGATATTATTTACCAAAAAACAAACGAGCATGGTAATGCTGACTTTATATTATGATTGCCGACGAACTCAGAGGAACTGTCTGTTCAGGATGTAACTATTTTTCAATTACACCAGATTGAAACTTTTCCAATCACGGACAGAGATTTGGCTAAAGAAACTGAAATTGTTGCAGAACTCAGTGCTTTGCTACGAATACTTCAAAGCGGCGGTGAATTAAAAGGAAGGGAGATAGAGTACAGTCTCCAAGATGGCTGTATAATGTATGGTCAATGCGTTTGTATTCCAAAACGATACCATGATAATGTTTTGAGAGTTGCACAACGGACACTTAGGGACTGTAAAGATGAAAGCAATTGCTAGACATTACGTATTTTGGAACGGTATAGATAAAGATATCCCAAAAACTTTTCTGAATGTGCAAAACATTGGGAGTACCCGAGCGCTCCAATGGAACATATTCACATGGATTCTGCAGGACCTGTTTTTGATAATCATCAATGCTCACTCAAAATGGCTAGAAGCCTATCCAATGAAATCTAGCTCGACTTTCAAAACAATAGAATGTTTACAGGACTTTTTTGCACGATTCGGATAACCAGTATTGTTAGTGAGTGATAACGGACCACAGTTCACTTCACACGAGTTAAGAACAACGCAAAATTATCCAGGAAATTTCAGACAAAAACTCAGTACATTTTTGATGCGATATAGGAAAGCTCCGAATTTAACTACTCTACAGAGCCCTGCAATGCTACTGCTGAAGAGGAAAATTCGAACAAGAATATATTTATTGAGACCAGATCTCAAAAGGAGGGTGGAAGACAGAATTCGAAAAGGAACCTACGTGTTTGCAGACCGAGGATTTAGAGCAGGAGATACAGTGGGAGTAAGAAATTATCGTCAAGGTGATAGACAATGGAGATTTGGAACAGTCCAATCCAAGCATGGGCAGCTTCATTACATCATAAATGTAGATGGTCAGCTATGGCGACAACATATCGATCAGATGCGTGATGGAGGAACCGTAATAGATGAGGGGTTCATATGTTCATCTCCAGCTCTCGTGATTTCCAAAGAGCCTGATAAAAGTGGAGTTCCAGAACCATCCAAAGATAACAGCCACCAGGCAGATGAGTCTGTATCGTCCTCCAAGTCCAAGGTTGTACGAGATGTTCCATCCACTGGACCTGCTGCTGATACAACCAAGTTACCAAAGAAACCAGCAGTGCCACAACCTTTGCGTCGGTCCAGTAGAATTCGATATCCCCAAGATAGACTGCAGTTACGATAAAGGGGGAGGGATGTGGTATATCGAGAACTATTGATGTGTATATCATAATCAGACTTTAAGATGGCGCCACTCCTAGCATCGGAGCGCGGGCAGTAATAAGAAAATGACTGGAATGCGAGTAGCTGTAAATATAAGTGTGTATAAGAGTGATGAAATATTGTGTGTATATATAATAAAAGTAGCATGTAATTTTAAAAAGTTTATTTTGTGAAATAATTACCCACTAAAAGATACATGACAGATTCTAAAAAAAATTCTTCAAATGACATGTGAATATCTAAAGTTGCCAAATATGGTTGAAGGCCGCTATAATAAAGAAGTACCACTGTTTTTATCTACTAATTACAACCTGTATGTGATTAAAGAGAAAATAACTTACATTTTAAAGCACATAGCAGTTCACTTTCCCTACACCTACCTTTTGTAAAAACATTCTTCCGATTTGAATGCGATCCAATACTCAATTTTAAAAAATACAATTTCAGGATAAACTGTCTTTTATACTTTTGCAAACTTACGTAAACTGCCATAAGATTATAGCAAAATTGGAAACAATATTCTCAATACTGGAAATATGGTTTAAGAATGTAAAAACGATTAGAGGACTACTGGAAAAAAAAAAAAAAAAGTTGCAGAGTTATTCTTACATTATCGATATTCTGCATCATGTATTTAAAATCTCAGGTTTTTCAAGATTTTACTTTCAAAGTACATAATATTTCTTGTCAAAAGACTCAGCATGGATTCCGACCGATTACGATTCAGAATTGTGCAACTTGAAATTACATATTATTTTGAGCTCAAACTGATTTGGAAATCAAATCCCATTTACTGCATTTGGCTCTTTAGGCTAATAAATCATTTTTTTTCCAAAAATTGGTTTTTGCAAATTTTTGCAGAATCTTGGAAGTCAAAATTGTAAAACTACCAAATTGTGTAAGGATTAGTAAAGTCAAGATTAACATATTATGGACATCTACATTTTGAATAAATATAAAAATCATTCTAGACAGTATGCATATGCCTTCCAGTGGCACAATCAAATAGGCACATCATATGTCTCCAATAACTAACTCTCAATATTCATTTCAGGTAATAAAAGATGCAAGGTAATAAAAGATGCAATAGAGGGAAATCAAGATTTTAGAAACAAGCCTCCGATTGATTGAAAATCTACAGACGAATTACTGAAACATTTTATTTGACTAAAAAAACAAGTAAAGTATAAAAAAGATCCTAGCTAAAAAATTTAACAATTATATTTTTAAAATGAGAGAAAGAATTACCTTTTAAAACATGATAACTGACAGAGAAAAATAATTAAATACATGCATACACACATACATACAAATAAGTACAAAAAACTATCAAATTTTAAGAACCAATGATAAGATAGTTACACTTAAGTTTCCATTGCATCATAAGATACATTTAATTGGCAATCTTTAGTTGAATATATAGAAAAGCATACTACTACTAAATTCTATGGTTTTTAAAATTTTCAAATAAAATGCAATCTGAATGTTTAAGAAAAGAGTACAAACTTACCCATTCCCATGCCAAAACCAAAATTCCCATTGGCAGCTATGCCAGAAGCACTTTCTAAAAGAAAATATTTAAAAGTTCATACATGTTGCAGACATACATATTTACAATGAGCTTCATTATCATAACTTGAACTATACTTTTAAAATTCATGCTAGATACACAAAAAGTGTCCAAATACCATGAACCCTTTCCCAGCAATCACTTCCTTAAGATGAAATGATCAGTATTTCTAAGAACATTAATAAACAATGTTGATAATTATAACTATATTCCCTTAAAAATCACATTCTAACATGACCAAAACCTTAAAATATGTATGTATAACATATAACAAAATAACAAAATATCTAATTTCATTACAAAACTAAAGTATTTTATATACTATGTATATCACAGGATTACATTTCAGTTCATACTGTAATAGCAAAGGTATTTTAATGCAAAAGAGCAGTTAATCATTAATTAGTGTGGAGTAACACATCTTATAGCACTGATTTTCAAAGTAGGGGGTTACAGGCAAGACAAGTGCCACCCATGCACAATGCACACCCTGCAATGCTGCACTCCATTCTTAGTTGGGCCTTTATTCAGTAAGTATCGATCACATAGGAAGTGAAGTTTGCGTATCTTAAATATGGTTTTGTTATCATAGCAAAAGCTGGTGCAGACCAGCCGCAACGTGTTATTTATTATGAAGTACTGAGCAATGATGCTATGAGCTCATCACAAAGACCAAGAAAAGTCATTATATTGAAGAAACGCTTGTATGCCTGTCTGTTGAAAGTAGCTGATATTGTTCTTGGACTAGAAATTAAACAAAACCTTTCACAAATACCGCTTTTTGACAACACTGTGAAACTTTACACTGATGGCATGGCCGAAGACAAAAAAATCAGTTAGCGCAGGCCATGAAAGAAATTCTTCTCTGATACAGTTGGAGGAGAGTACAAATGTTGCCAAATGTTAGTTTTCGTTAGGTACCAAATGAAACAAAGATAGACCGGATACTGTTTTCTACAGAGTTAACAACTACTTCAAAATTCACATAGTGACACCGATCTCTGAATTCTTTTGCAAATATGAATGTCAAGGCAAAAGCTGTCAGGCATATGCACAAATGGAACTTCTTCAATGCTTGGATCTCACTTAAGATTTGTACAAATGATCAGAGAAATGAATCCCAGTGTTACTGCTATTCACTATTTTATGCATAGGCTAAGACATTTCCAAATGAACTCATTATCTTAAAATTATGCATCAAAATCGTTAATCAAATTAAAATGATAACGTTAAATACTTTTTGTAAGAGGGGAAGGAAAAGATGCGGAAACAAAGCATAAAACATTCATTTCATATGGAAGTATACTGGCTTCCAAACAGTTAAGTTTATTTGTTAAGTTACAATATTAATAAGTTTATTTGAACTTCGAGATGAAGTAATTCAATTTTTAAAACTCAAACTGAATTAATTGAATTCTAAAAGTCAAGTTTTAAGTACTGGCTTTTTCTATCAGATACTTTTGATTTGCTGAACTCAACTTGAAATTATAGAGTGGAGATTCGAATATTATCATCAGGATCATATGCAGCACGTCACTGATGAATTTAAAAGATAAGCGATATTGCTGTTGAACTGAATTTTATGGTTTGAGTACGTAGAACATGATATTTAATAAATAAAGGTAACACACAAAATGTTAAAAAAAGGCCCCTTTGGAACGTAATTTAAAATTAAAAAATCTGATGTGTACACCACATGACTTCCTTGTATTGGAATATTAAATTATACGCATTTTTCTTGCATTTTATTTAAACTTATTGGATTGAATTAAATCTACTTCGCCGACAGTGCATAAACCACAATAGAATAAATGCATTCTTTAAAATTCACTCAAGTATTTGTTTACCATAGCGACACTCTGGCGCTAGATTCACTTAACAGTATTAATAATTATATAACAGTTAACGTATATATTTCGTTCATATTGTAACTCATAATGTACAAAATTTATATCATTTAAAGAATAGAATTATCTAATCGTTGCCACATGTTCTATTCAAATACTACAATTAAGCTAGAATGATGTATAAAAGAAATTAAGCAAACAAAACAAAAAAGAAACAGTTTTTCACAGACGATTGAGTATTTCTCATTTAATTAATTCAGTTCTCACTTTGCGAGAAGGCAAAAATACATAAAAACTCAAAATATCTATATTAAAAATTACGAAGTAAATCTCAAACACTTATTTCCTCGAAAAAATTCCAGAAAGAATTAAGCATGATTTAATTGTTAATAATAAATGAATGCGTTATCTTTGTTGTTGCGAAGCTACATTTCTCTAGATTGGCAACAAATCCACTACTCTGTGCTTTTTCAAATGTAAACAAGCAATGGCTGCCATCAAATAAATTATTAGGCTTAGCGGCACTTAAACAACTTTTAAATTGTTGATAATTCTAAAAATATTGCAAATTCACTAAAGGCATAAAAACCTTAACCGGAAGATAAGTACAACACAATTCAATCATTTTCAAAGCAAAAAATGTACAATTTACAAACATATAAGAGTAAAGAAACTGAGATCACTGAGCCGGGTAACAGAGTGGATATATATATAAATATATTTATATACGTTTGGTGCGGCCGATTGCAGCCAAAATACAAGGTGCACATCTACATGTTATACAAAATTTCAACGCTCTGAGGCTACTCGTTTTTTGAGTTATGCGAGATACGTACGTACATACGTGCGTACAGACGCCACGAAAAATTCTCTTCAGAATTAATTTTAAAGCAGTTTTATAATTTTTTTTTTTGAAGTAAAAGAGTATTTTATTCTGTCCTTACGTACAGATATCACGCAAAAACATTGTTAAATTGCATTCGATAGCGGTCAAAATGGATATTTTCGTTGAAATATGCTGCCTGAAACTTTTCGCGATTACAATACTTCCTTTTTACTTCGTACAAGGAAGTAAAAAGACAAATTCAAAGCGTGAAGTGTCTGTCATTGTGAAGCGTCTGTTCTCATTAATTGCTTCATCAACTTTCCTTACCAAATCATCGGTGACAACAGAAGGTCGACCACTCCGAGCCTCGGCGTGGACATTTGTTTAACCTGCATTAAAACATTCTTGCCCACTTTCTCACCATTCCATCACTTATCGCGTATTCACCATAAACTTCTGTCACTTGAGAATAAATTTCGACCGGTTTAACATTCCTCGCGTTCAAGAATTTAATCACGGCACGAATCTCGCAGTCAGCGGGAGAACTAATTGTCTTAAACATTTTGAATGTGCACAGCAAACTGAAAACACAACATAGAGCAACCAAAATGGCGACAATTGGAAATCAGTGAAGAAGAAAGACTAGTACGCATGCGCAGGACGCCTACCACAGCGATGCGACGGCGCTAGAATGAACTCAGTTTCCGAATACGCTACGTAGTTATCGAAGGTCACAACAGTTTTCTCCCCTCCCCATCCATGAATGCACAAAGAATGAAGGTTTCAAATTACATCCTTTCTACTTCTAGCAAATAAAGATAAGAAACCACAAACAAATCTTTCTAGGACAAGCTGTCTGCAATAAACTGATACAATGCATTTGGGAAAACTGCACCTGCTACTGCATACCTTAAGGGAGGGAAGAAAGCAACATTGGAATTCTGGCCGTTTGGGTTGTTTGAACGAAGAGCCATCTGGGCCGATATGAGTTAAGAGAGTTAACAGAACTCCTTCTTGGAGTTTTACAATAAAGCCTCTACTCGGGCTTGAACTTAGGAAACTAAGAACTAAAACTTAACTAATCTTAACTAAAAAGATATAGCCGAAGCTATCAGATTCTAACAAAGTTGGCCCATTAACGCTAAATAACACGAAGCTATCAAGAGCCTAAAGTATGGCCGAGCATAATAATAGCTTAAGAGAGAGTAACCTTAAAAGGCAAACGTGTGCTAGTCAGAATCACTGGTTCTCTCGTATGAATTCGGTAGAACTTCATAGTCAAATACTTCTCCTCATTTGCATTCAAATGCAATTCTAAAAATACGCTCTGGCCATAAGTTGTAAGCTTGAAATTAAGAAAATATAGGATGGTAACTTTAACTCAAAATTTAACTGTTAGATTAATTAATATAATCCCTACAACATATTAGATTTGTGTATACTTAATCTCTTACTAATCGTAGGCTTAATCTCTTAATCCTATCCTATTGTAGGCTCTTACTATCTTTTAATATTTTACTTTTTTACATGCTTCCCAGCAATGCTCATTTCAGCACTCTTTTCGAAACTCTATTCATTCAGCACACCCACAGAATTAAAATGATAAATGCTATCATCGAAAAATTTTAACTGTGTACTCTTTCAAGCCTAAACTGACCAACTACTTTTTTTTTTTTGAAATTTCAACTTTAAAAAGTAGCGTGCTGGAAAGGGTTAATAATGAAGATTAATCACTCTTATATTGGAAACCTTTGTACGCCACCTTTTCTGAAAATGGCTTTTGCTTCTCGGGTATTAAACTGTCAACTTTTCAAAAGGAGAATGCAGACAATCAGAAAGTATCAAAAATTTTATTATGTAACATATGAAACTAAAATCTTCTAATACCAAAGTTTAGTGACAATTTTAAATTCAATTTAAAACAATATTTATTAACATTTTTATATGAGAGAAAAACTAATTATATTAATACAAGCTACAGTCTTAATATAGAAGGGAAGAAAAAAAAGCTATTTGAAATTACATTATTTTACTTAAGTGTGCTATCTATTCCAAGAGTTGGGGGAAAGGACATTACTCATTAATATGTTACTTTAAAACAGGAGCTTCAAGATTATTTTCCACTGCCCTATTTCACTCATAACCATAGCAACAGCAGCTGCAGAAAAAAGGTGAAGTCATTTAATCCACACCTTTTCATTTCCATTTACATAATTTTGCTCCATCAAAAGCACGTGAATGAAAGTTGAATTACAGCCTCAAATGAAGTGAAAAAAAAAATTAATGCAAAGGCCAGCAATGCCACAAGTTATAATTGTGAGCGGGCTGGCAATGGCCTTGAAGTGCCTATTTTAAAGTAAAAGACTTATTTCTTCTTCCCTATATATAAAAATGTTATTTAAATTTTCCCAAAACAGGGAAACATCTCAGCAATTTCCAAGTACTAAAAATTCATTTATTCCATATACAAGCAAAAAGTAACTTACTGTTAAATTGCATAGGCTGTCCATTTATTCCCAATCCTTTTCCAATACCATGAAGACCAACTGAAATTTAAAATATATAAATAAATAGATAAAAACAGGACATAATCTTAAATAGATCAAAAACATGAAATCCAACATTTAAAGCTTAAGATGATTTATAGCATTTTTTTTACTCACCAGGTAACTTGGCTGGTATTGCATCGCCATCATCAGTAAATTTATCCTAAAAATTGAGATCTATGTTTAGCATTTATTTTACATTGAAAATTACAAATAAAATACACTTAAAATAACAGAGCATAAATAGACATAATGTAAATTCAAAATGTCTATAAAGCACATGTTAGTATTTCCTTGTTAGCATTTTCAAATCTATACATAATGAATGACATTCCCTTTTAATTCCTTGTACGAAGTATTTTTGCCTTTCTGAGAAGTGAGAATTGAATTAATTGAATGAGAAATAGATCACTAATGAATTTTGGGGAAATAAGTTTACATGAAATGCAGCAAAAAATGCATATAATTTAATATTCCGTACAAGGAAGTCGTGGTGTCCGCATCAGATTTTTTTTCCATAAAAAGAACTTTTAAATATACTGTTAAAAATTAAAAGCGTAGTTTAATTAACACTAAACTAATTAATGCAAACTGAATACAATCATTCTCATAAATGTAACTTTGATAATATCACTAAGCTATTGCTGTTTCTTTAAAGGTTGATAATGTCATATGAGTATCCAAAAAACCTTTAGTTATAAAATCACCAAAAAGACCATAAAAGAAAACAATCCTATATTTTAATGTGCACTTTAACTAAAATCATATAATTTAAATTTATACATATATAACTCATTTTATATCATCAATTCCTTGAAAAGGAAAAAAATAATTAAGAAAGAAAATAATGAAGGAAACTTAACTCTTAATCAGCATAAAAATGCGATATTCATCACTTTCTTTTTACGGTCATCTAATTATTCTCATGGCATAGGATTACACTAAATTTTTTTAAATATGTCTTTGATTTAGAAATCTTAATTATCACCCCCTAAAACTGTGGGACTATTAAGAATAAAAGACTAAATTCTTTATTTGGAAACTTATTAACTAATACACGATAACTAAAAATGGAATGAAAGTTTTTTAAAAAATTGTTAAAATTTCAGTAAATTAAATTAGGAGGTTTAAAAAAAATAACTTGGAAGATTATTTTTTAAATTATTTGATGGTGAAATCAAACAAAATTCTGTGATGTTGGGAATTCCAAGCAGGCACAACAACAGTTCAACATTAACATGCATATGGGAACGGGGGGAATATGAGTCAAATTCTGAATACATAGTAATGGCATAAATATATATGTGTGAAACACCATCAGAAAACTGTCTTGGTAAATGGGCAACAAAATGAAAATCTAGCCAAAGACACAGTCAGGGTTCGTACACATTTCTGCACATGGAAATTAAAAATTAAGGACATATGAGCAAATAGCAAATTAATAAGTTCAATTAAAAATACTATCTATGCCTGAACTTCACTTTGGTAATATCATCCAAAAAATAAAATAGATCCGTACGTAGGATGCATTATTATTAAACCTAACTTAATTAACATAATTATTAGTAAGTTTGAGTATAAAATATACTTTATGAAATTTATCAAACAGCATTAACTATTTTACACTTATAATAGTTCAGCATATTTGAAAGATGACATTTTATTTATGTTTTACTAATAGTTATGTTTCATGTTGATTTTTTTTTTTTTTTTTTTAATGTCTCATTATTTGCTTAATCTAGAGGTTTAGTGAATAGCCAGGTAGATTTAATGTCAAGTGTCATAGGTTAAAATGAGAAGTAAAATCATAATAAGAATGATTTATAACAAAAGACTGGCTGTTGTCACCGCTGTTCCTTGCCTAAAGACAGACCTGCAGACCAGAACAAAACTGAAAGGCCTAATGTGGTGCACGGTTAGCTAGTTTTTAAAGTTAGTTGGGTTCTGTCTGTTGGAGTTAGTGTCGTAGTTCCGTGTAGAGTTCCAAGGATTAAAACCCAGTTAATATACTTTAAGGTGTCGTAGCTCCGTGTAGAGTTCCAGGGGATGTAAACCAGTTAATATACTTTAAGCTTCCAATAAGCCACTGAAGCACCAGAAGTGACACTAAGCTGCTTTGCATTATTTTAGGTCTCACTAGATACGAAGAATAAGTCAAAAAGTACTGAATGACCATTGTGATTACTTTGAGGATTAGCAATGATTATTATTTGTTTTATGATGTTTTCTTTCTGACTATCCAAAATGGTAAGAATGTTTTTGGTTATTTTGTTTTAATTTTCACTAAATTCAAAGAATAAATTTTATATAAATTTTTACATTTTTGTGTTTTACCTTGTACCACGCTAAGAAGGCAATAACTCACTTTAATATGCACAGATAATTTTTAAGGATAAGCAGTTAGTTATAAATAAATTAGATAGTTAGATAACCTTAGTCATTATGGATTTACATGACCACTATTAAATTTTACCTATTTTTTAACAATACTGTTAAAAGTACCTATTAAAATCACAATCTAATAAAATTTCACACTTTAAAATAAATGCAATTTATGTCATTGATTCTTCAACAATATTAGAATATTAAAATACATTAAATACATTAAAAGCTACAAAACATTTATTTTTTATAGCAACAACACTCAACAAAATATTTATGCTTCTTTTTAATTTGAAGCCTGGCCAGACATTTTGGCTAATTTATATCGATTTCCTTCTCTTTAAGCATCTTTACTAAGAATTAGAAATTTCTCTCAATATGCAAACCAATGTTCTCATTAGTTTCTGTGTGCTTTATCTCCTAAATTGTCAACCTCTCCACAATGTACCTATGAGGGTTTACTTGATCCGGTAAAAGTTAAATAATCCAAAAACTCCTGAAAGACATGACGCAAATTATCGTTAAGTCTCAAAGTAACTACCGTATATACCCACGTATAAGTCGACCCCCCCACTTCGACATAAAAAATTCATAGAAAATAAGAAACCCGCTTATAAGTCGACCCCCCACTTCCGAAATCGATCGAGAAACTTCGAAAATTTTTTCTTAAGTACTACATTTATTCAAAATCATCTGAGAAAAAAAAAAAAAAAAAAAAAAAAAAGTAAATATACGATAAAAAATACCTTGGTAAATAAACAAAATCAAAATCCTTCTTCTAGAATTTGTTCCGGAAATTCTAAGGAAAAGATTCGCGTACGTAAAATCTATCTGCATTTCCCCTTTTTAAAAGTTAAGAAATATTCAAAACTGTTCAGTTATTGCGTGGGCTATTTTTTTAAATTTTGACGTGTACGCCTGTTAACAAAAGTATTTCATGAATGAACAATAACTATTATAAAGATTTATACGTACATTTTATCGAAACTTACTCTAGTTAAAGTATGAAACTCTGTGATTAGTTCGTCACATAATTTAAGTCATGAAATTACTTCAAGTAAGTGACTTATTTGATAAGTCGTCCAATTTGAGTGCGGGAAGAAAACAACTGCATTATATAAAGAAATTTTTTAACTTCCGATTCTTTTAATTTTTTATGGCCCCGCGTATAAGTCGACACCCCACTTTGAAGTCTTTTTTTTTTTTTTTTTTTTGTCCAAAATATCTCGACTTATACACGGGTATATACGGTACAAAGTCAGACAAAGGTTTAAATAAGCCTCTTATTTAAAAAGAACCTAAAGGTATGTTCTTATGCTAACCAAATCAATTAAAGTTTGGGGTGATGTAATTAAACAAGAACAATCAAATTCAAACAAAAAAATGTGGACTAGTGGTCAATTTAATTTAATTTTAAGCTGGCTAAGTAACTCTACTGTCATAACTAATTCAAATGTCGGCAGCAGTAATTCAAAGATGAATAATTACAAATTATCAGAGCCGGCAGAAACTAATGCAAGGAGCAAGTGGAGGTCAGAAACACAATCGTCTTGCACTCCAAACACCTCAGTTTAAAAAATGTCTAGGTGATTTCCAAAAAATACAAATGGGAAATTATAGTAAAAGCTGAAATTGTAAACAACTGGGTAATTTACATAATAATAACTGTACATATCTTTGAAGAATAATTTTATATATTCAGTTTTTTTTTGTCTACATTTTCTTTTCATTTTAGAATTTTTGGATTTAATTAAATATTTCTGTTATTCTAAAAAAAAAAAAAAAAAACTAAATACATTTAAAATGTATAGAAAAAGCTGTTAATTTTATTTCTTTAGTAATATCAGTTAGTTATTCACAAGAGATATGAAATATATATGGTAAGGGCCGGTTACAGAGCTGGTGTGGCAGAATTTTTAAAATTTAGTGAAACACCCAGCAACAAAATGTAGAAATGGAAAAACTTTTAGAATTTAGAGCAGGCACTGGAAGCAGAATTTAGAAAGGCACTAGTCAGCAAAATTTAGGATCTACACAGAGAGGTTTAACATTTCACGCGATTGCACTATGTGGGAAAATGCCTAGTTTTCCCAGACCAGTGTATGATGCATTAAGACATATTAGAAGAATTTTTTAAATTGCCAGTTTTCAATTTCTTTATTAATCAAAAATTGCATTTTTATAATGCCTGTCCATGTGATAAGATTAGAAGCATTTTTAATATTTTCAATACTTGTGTCTAGTGAAAAGTAGAGAAAATAAAGGGAAGATAAGCATGTTAAGAAAGATTCTAGTATCAGAAGTAAAACATTCAAATATTATGTTTTCATTGTTCTTCCAGATGTTCTTTAAAAAGTAAGAAATTCATTGCAAACTTTCTGTAAAATACATTCATTACGTGTTGATACCATAGTGACATTTTTCATTTTGTCAAATTTTTCTAAAATCTTAGGAATCGTGGGTCTATAAATCTTGCCTTCAAATCTTTCTAAACTTTCCAAGTTGCATCCTTCTTCAAGTTGCAATGTCCAACGTCCCGAAGAAAAAATACCCCTACCAGTTTTGTAACAGCAAACAGCCAGAATATTTTGAAAAAAAAAAAAAAAAAAAAAAAAAAAAAAAAAAAAAAAATCAGACGAAAAAAATTGAAATTAATTAATTTTATAGAGAAAACTGATGCATATTCTGAGAATTTAGAATACTCTGAGACAATTACATGAGAAAACTGTTATCATGAAAAAAATTGAAGATATTTTTAAATTAATATGTTACATTTTAAAT